ACCCAGCAAGGTGTTGGGGTGGCCACAGAATTTTTCTGTGAGCCCCAAGGTGGTTCCTCAAGGTTAATGTGGGTTCTGTGTGGGGTCTGCCATGGGACCACCTTGCAGAGTTTGGGAGCCCTTACGACCGGGTCAAGCAGGATGGTCAGTGCCATCTGATTGGCTCACAGGGATGCCAGACCAGAGATGGGATGTGAGATGGAAGGCCAGAAAATGGACCCAAAGCCAGACAGGTTACCACCAGCTCTTAGAGGCCTTGACATGGGTAAAGGCAAGTGAGTTTGTTCAGTTATTTATCCAACAAATCCCGACTGAGCTGGAATTATGTGCCAAACACTGTTCTAGGTTTGGAGGCCTCTGTGGCGAAGGAGATAAAGTCCCTGCCCTTGTGGGGATAAAGACACAAAAAAGATACTATTAAAATAGATGATGGTAATCAATACTGTGAAGAAAATAAACAGATTGATGGACTAAGGTGGGGGAAGGACACTTTTAAATAACAGGCAGGAAAGGCTACTTTCCGACTGTGACACTGGAACTGAGACCTGAACGATGAGGAGGTGAGATTGCAAGGAGAGGCATTCCGTAGGAAGTGCAAAGGCCTTGGGGCCATAATGAGTTTAGCATTTCAAGTAGATAAAAGGACAACATGGCTGGAAGAAGGAGGAGATGGGGCCAATTTGTGTAGTGCTCTGGGCATCATAAAGGAGTTTGGATTTTATCCTGTGCATAATGAGAATCCACAGGAGGAGTTTCAGCAGGAGAATGGTTTGATCTGAGTTCTGAGAATGTCCTACCTCTGCAGGCATGCAGTTTTCTAGAATAAATAAGAACAAACAGATCTTGTTTTCTTGAAGTAGAGGGGCATGGTGGAAGGAGATCCTGAATCGCGGACTTTTAACTGTGAGGCAAATCTCGATTGCAGCGAAGTGTTTGATAAAAGCTCTTGGGAGGGAATGGAGGTGGGATGACAGTGATGGGGTTGATTTATTCACCCAAAGTGTTGATCCAAGATTACTGTCAGGCTGGGAGGAGAGTCTCTGGTAGTGTCCCTGAGGCTCTGCCCCAGACTCTCTCCTGTTCAACATTTCTATTTGTAAATTGGCAGAAGACTCATAAGATGTGCTCATCAGACATGCAGCTGACATGGAGCTGTCAGGGACAGCTAATGCCACAGATGACAGGCTCAAGATTCACTGTAATGATCCTCCACAGTCTGGAGTGATGGGATGAAACCGACAATATTCCTGATTGCATTCAGATTGGGAAACAAAGCCCGGCCAGGGATCAGGGAGAACTTGCTGGATAAAGATCTCCTGAAAGGAAGCCCAGGCCAGAGGTGGGGAGGAATTAGTGGAGGGAGCTGGACGCAGCCAACTCCCTACATAAGCTTCCTCTCTCTGAGTGACAAGGTCCTTAGCCTTTCAAGGTCATTCTTCTCACCTGTAAAGTGGGGATGATCCTGGCTACTTCCCAGGCATATGGGGAGGATTAAATATGAACACATATGTGGATGCCTGGTTTCCTGTCTGGCCTGTAGTAGGCTCAAGACATATGCGAGGGAAATATGAATTTGTAGAGGCTGGCATGAAAAAGATGGATATCCTGTGGTAACCTTTCTAGACCATGTAGCAGGGCTCATAGCTGGGGCAGGCCCCTATATTCTTGGCACACCAGTGCCAGCTTTCCAAGAGCCCCATTGGTTCCTGCGGTATGTCCAGAGGAGAATGGCCTGGAGGGGTCGGGTCTGAAAGCCATATCCCCTGAAAGCCACCCTGAGTTCAGACTGGAGAGAAGGAGGCAGTTGCAGGTGGGGGGTGGGGGACATGAATGTTTCCTTAAACACCACAAAGGCTGCAGTATGGGAATCAATGGGGCAGATGCTTTTTTCATTGCTCTAGATGCCTGTGAGGAGAAGTTGTGCAGAGGCACATAAGGGTGTATCATAACTAAGATCTAAACATTGATAATTACATTATGATAATTATGCTGTGAGCATTTCTCGAGGGCCCACTACATACCCAGCTTGTGCTAACTGTTTTGCACAACTTATAGAATGCTCACAGTCTAACCTTGACAGATGAGGAATATAAGGTGTAGAAGGCAGCTCTTGAGAGGCAGAGCAGGGATTCACATTCAGCCCCTGCTAGTTCCTCTGCCAGCCTGGCTTCTGGTTGGGGAGGGCAGGAGTGACCTCCCAGGTGCTGAGAAGGGACCATTGTGGGGAGTTTTTTGGTACAGGGATCTCAGGGCCCTGTGGGGCTTCTAGAAGCTACTCTTGACCATGTGTGTGTAATATTTGTAAAAATAAACCAGAAAGCAAACACAAATAGAATGATCAGTGTGTGATGACCCTATGTAACCATAACCTGGCTTTAGCAATGACCAACACATGGCCAATCTTGTTTCATCTAATACTTCCTCTCTCTTCTTTCCCTCCTCCTGCTGGATTAATTTTAAAGGCAGTCCCAGGCATCATTGCCTCTGTAAATAGCATGTACCTCTAAGAGATAAGGACTCTTTGTTGTTGTTAAGTATAACCACAATACCATTATCACAATTTTTAAAAATTAACATAATTGTACTGTGTCTTTCTAATTCAGTGAAGCGACTGATGTATGGCTTGCTTTGCAAAGTATTTGGGGAGGGGAGGCAAAACCTAGTCCTTCAAATGTCTGATTTCTGTGACTTGAGACTCACCTGTTCCTTTTGAGGTGGATGGTGAAGAAGAAGAGGAGGGGGATCTAAAACTTTAGACCGTGGATTGGCAGCCCCTTTATTCTGATTGTTCTCAGGGGACACAGCTGGGAAAGTGAGGCCTATTTATAGGCCTAAGTCTAGACATGGGAAGGAGGCAAAGGAAGGGAAGAGGTGACAAGCCAGGGAAAGGGGACAAAAGAGAGAGTGGAGGGATGGAGAAAATAATAGAAAGTGACCTTGCTGCACACACAGATCCAATGGCCCTCCAGGAGCTGGCCAGGACCAGCCCACACTAGCTAATGCTCACAGCTGACATTGACTGAATATTTCCTGTGCATGGGGCACTGTGCTGAGCTCACATGCCAGTGACCTCACCCAACGCTCTCAACCATCCCATGAGGTGGTGATGTTACATGTCACACCCATTTTACAGGGGAGGGCCCTGGGGTTCCAAGGTCTGACATGAGAAGAGCAGTGATGCCTGGATTCAAACCCAGGTCTATCTGGCTGGAGTCTGCTTTTTGCAGGCATTACTCTCTGCCTCCAAGCACGGTGAGGTTCCATGTGGGGCTAATGTTCACAAAATATGCTGTCTTGGCTGCTGGACTATTGGTACATTCCCATGTCTTTAGTACTTAGCTCTTCCCCAAGCTCTCCAAGCACCCTGGGGGCATCAAGTCTTTGCCTCAGGACTCCTCAGTACCCAGGGACTAAAGGTTTCCTGTCTGGCACAGCAGGAAGTCACTAGGACTGTAGACTGTGTCCATTCTGATTGACTGTTAAATGCAGTGACTATTCCCCTGGGTCTGTGTATGGTGTGACATGCGAATTGTGTGCCTTCCTGTTTCTGTTCATGTGTGTGTCTGTGTGTGTGAGTGCGCACGCACGCTTGTACACAATGAGTATTACCAGGAAGGCATAGACCCTGCTGGAAGCATTCCATGGTCACCCCTTTGGAGTCTCATCGTGCCCTCTGAGAGGGTGGCCAGAGCTGGAATGTGTGCTGGGCCTCCAGACTGCAAAGCGTAAACCGCAGCAGCTGAGCTCCCCTATGGGGCTCTTGGATTTTTTCCCTTGGGTCTTCTTCATCATCTTCTCCCTCAGTGCTCCCATGATAGTGGGCTGAGCAGTTTCCAGAATGCTTTCTGTGGGCCACCTCACCCACCTCTCATAGGAGCCCATTGAGTGGGGATAGCAGACAGTTCTAGGCTGGTGGCCCTGGTCCTCCTAGGAGCACTAAGCAGGAAGGTGCCTACTTGCCAAGGATGCTGGTGAGGTGGGCAGGGACACCAGCCAGGACAATAGGATTGCCATCTTCTCCACACCTGGAGAGAAGTGGCAACCAGGAGCCTAGAAGCCAGGGGACCATCAGATGCTATCAGGCAGGTGCTGACAAGCAAGGGTGCAGTGGAGGACCCAGGGTCCAAGGTGCAGGTTGAGGCAGTATTTAGGCACAGGGAGACCCCGGTGAATCAGTGCAGGGACCACCCAACTGCTGGTGCTGCCCATGAAGTGAGGCCCAGTGCAGAGGCTGTGATTGGGTCAGAGACCATGCCAGAGTGAACACGGGTATCCAAGAGGCTACTGTAGGGGACCCAGGGGCAGGAAACAACCAAGGCTGATGGTGGTATAGACATGAGAGCTGACCTTTGAATCACCCTTACTCTATGCCAGACACCATCCAAAGTGCTTTGCACCTCTATGATATTCCTAGTAATAAGAGAAGGAGACAGAATACCAAGATGCTGAACAACCTGCCCACGGTCACACAGATGGGAAGTGACTGGGTCAGGGTGTAAGCTCAGGCTGTCCACTCCACCATTCTGCAGTGAGGTAATGGGGGCTGCACTACGCTCCTGGGGGCTTCTCAGGGCTCAGTCCCAGCACCTTGGACACCACACATAGAGCTGATGGCTGGCTCCTGACCTCTTTGATGCTGGGCAAAATTCCCCAGTGAACCTTTTCTCTGGTCTTTCATTGCTTCAGGTCCTGAGCATGAAGAACAGGAGGGATGAACTAGAATTCAGTGAGACTGTGACTTGCCCTAGCTCACTCAGCAAGGTTGTTGGGAGACGACCCAGGTTTCCCCATTTTCAAAACCATGCTCTCAGTGCTGCATCCTGCGGTGTGGTGCAGAGCCCTGTGGGGGTCCACTGTGTGTCCACTGGGTTCTCTTACCTGGAAGTGTGTTTTTGTCATGCTGTTCATCTACCTCCGTTTTCTGGGGCCTATGTCCTGCTGCAGAGCCACACCTTCATGAGCTGGCACTAACACCGTCTGTCTCTCTGACCCATTTGCAGAGCTCTGGAGCTCAGCAGTGACAAAGATGAGATCTCCCTGTTGGTAGAACAGGAGTTCCTGAGCCTCACCAAAGAGCACTCGATCCTGGTCAAAGAGAGCTCTGAAGAGCTGGAGGCACCCGGCAGCTCTCCCGAGGGGACCAGAGAGCTGGCTCCCTGCATTCTTGCCCCTCCTGGAGTGGCAGACAGTAATGAGTGCCCCAGAGCCTCCATCATTGTCGGCGACAAGCTTCCCAAGCAGAAGATGGCCACATCCATTAATGGCAGCAGACAGGACTGTGATTCTGCCATGTCTGCTGTCACAGACATTCTGCGTGCCACCAAGGTCAAGAGCTGCAAGGGGACAGATGACAGGGACTGCATCCTGGGTGCCTCCAACTTGGAGGTCAGCAAGCTTCTGGCCCAGTTCCCACTAAAGTCCACTGAGGCATCCAAGGCCCCTGATAACAAGAAGGTGCTGGAGGAGACAAAGGTCATCAAGGACTTCCTACAGAACAACATGTTCAGTGGCCCTGGGCTCAGGGAGCCCATGGGGCTGAGTCCATTTCTGCTGCCACCTCCCCCACCTCCTCCTGCACCCCCTGACAAGCTCCCTGAGCTCTTTGCTCAGAAGAGGCAGCTCCCAGTGTTTGCCAAGATCTGCTCCAAGCCAGAGGCTGACCCTGCTGTGGAGAGGCACCACTTGATGGGTGAGTGGGGCTGGAACTGGGGTAGAGTGGGTGTGCAAGGAGGAGGTCCCTCCCAAGAAGCCATCAGGATTGCAGCATGTACATAAAGCATCTTTGTGCAAAGCAGGACAAAGCAGCCTCTCTGGTGGGCACATCCCGAGGGACAAGCTGTTTTCAACCCCCAGAGGCTTCTTTTGCTGGGTGTCCCTGTGCAGAGCACAGCTTTTGTGAGCAAACCCAGAGGCCCTGATCTCAACATATTTTGAGAAGAGAAATAGGAGCCATGTAGTAACTGGCTTAACTTTGGAATCAAACAGGTATTCAGAGTGCATTGAAGGAAGTGTTTACCCTAGCTGGCTTCAGGGCAAAACTGCAGCTTGGGGATGCCAAGATGTATAGAAGAGAAATTTGATTGGTAGTTGGGATCATTTGGCATCTGTCTCATGGAGACACCTGTTCTGGACGTGAGGCCTGGTCCTCCCTCTCTGGGGTATTAGGGTGGATACATAAATTATCCAGGCACAGTGTAGACTGTTGACCCTGGAATCTGTTTCCTGGGACTTACTTTATTGAGGAGGTCACATTCTTCCCAGGAAAGCCAGCCACCTCCCAAGATTCTCCTACTTTATGCCCAGAATTCTGTGTGTTGTTCTGATATAACCAGTCAGACTGTAAGGTTCCAAGAACGTAGACTGATGGACATGGCCATTGCCTAGGGTCAGCAGTCACTAGGAGAGTGACCATACTCCTGTTAGCCAAAAGAACAATTCCCTCTGGGCTATGAGCATGGATGAGTAAGTGAGAGATGCCCATATCGGGAGGGTCCAAATTCATCTCCCTGAGAAAATAAGAACAAGGTCGTCTCAAATATTCTGTGTCCTGGAGCATTACAGGAAGGCCGAGGAATCAGAGCTATGGATCGCAAGCTGGACTCTGGGTCCTGGACAGGGCTCTGGGAGCCAGAGGGCTTTAGGATGAGGGGCTGTGGGAGAGAGATAACTGAGCTCTTCCCAGAGGGGAGAACTTACCTCCTACCTCTTCTCCCAGAGGGACCCATGGATACTTCCCTGTTGGATGTGGCTGCTGGATTGGAAGCATTTCTGTCCCACCCACCCTGCCCACCATTGGTACATGTCTGTGTGTACAAAAGTGTGGGCCAAAGTGTGCCGAAAGAAGCTGTGAAGGTTTGAGTGTATTTGTTAGAGAAAATGCAGGAGTGGTGCATCTAAGCATGTCTGTGTACACTTTTGTGCATGTGTCTGTCCTGTGTGTAGTTGTGTACGTGTCACTAAGTCAAAAGAACAACAGATAGGAATGTGTATGTATCTGTGTGCCCAGACCTTGGAAGAGGGAGCTTCGTAGATGTTTAAGGTGCCTGTAAATGTGAGTGGGAATCTACAGGTGCACAGGTCTCTGGGGAAAGGGCTATTATTAGTGGGTACTGTTATTTCAGCTCACTGGCTAGGGGCTGAATTCAGCAACCAGAGAAACTCCTGGAAGAGACTCTAGGGATTTTTTTTTGCTAAAAATGTTGTTTCCTCCTAAATTGGACCAGGCTAGAGCAGCTCTTTCCTTTGCTGGGATAGTGCTAGGAAGACAGGCTTAGCCCCCAAGCTCAGCCCCCAAGCCACTGGACTAGGAGACCAAAAGCTGGTGGGATCAGGTCTATTATCAACAGGTAACACTGAGGCACAGGTCCTTTTTGGCTGCAACTAGAGAGATCCCGGTGACTGCTGTGGGCCAGCGCAATACACAGCCACCCAGTGGGTGGCCAGATCTCAACTCCCACAAGCTTCTTTTGCTGGGTACAAAAGAAGTGAGAATCTGTGATGGTCCCAAAAGTACCTTTACATTGGGAGAATAAATGCTCAGCCTCTTCGGAGAGAGACCTGGGTCTGCCACCAATCTTGTCCCTGCTCCACATTCCAGCTATATCCAGTGATTCACGATGTCTCTTTGATGCTTTGAGGCTTTTGTCCACAGTTATCCATGCCTGCCATGCCTTCCTCCCCACACCCCTAGATGTAAGGCCTTGCCGAAACCCTACTTCCTTCTGGAAGGAAGCTTCTCAGATAGAAGCAGTCTCAGCCACCCTGTTTTCCCATTTCTTCCCTCTGCCACCTCGTGGTGTTTATCTGCCTTGTCCTGGAGCTATTTCTGGGCATGTCTCTCTGTTTTTCCTCGTTATGAGCTCCTGCTGGGCACAGTCTGCCTCTGACTCACAACTGTGTCCCCAGCACTCAGGTCAAGGCCTGGCACTGACAAGTGAGCTGAATCACCTGTGAGTAATAAAACAAAAGTAGAATCCAGGATGAGAGACCACAAAGTGCGTGGCTCAGACCACATGTTCTGTAGAAATGTGTGTCTCCCTCACCAAACCATGTGCTCACTGAAGGCAGAAACTGTGTCCAAGACATCCTTCTATCCTCGGCCTGGCACTGTGGATGGTTCGAGAGAAGGAAGGGTGGAAGGAAGGAGGAAGGGTAAGGAAGGAGAGGAAAGAAAAAGCTAATTGGAAGAAAGGAATGATGGAAGGAAAGATGAAGGGATGGATGGATGCAAAGAAGGTAGGAAGATAAAGATGAGATAGACAGATGGGTGGATGGACAGATGGATAAGTAGATGGATAGAAGGAAGAAAGACAAAGATGATGGACAGATGAGTAGATGAATGGACAGATGGATGGATGGAGAGATGGATGGTTAGATGGATTGATGGATGCATGAGATCAGGGGATCAGATTAGGCAGGGGCCAGGGAAGATTTCAGGGAGAGATTGGGATTGTATTTGGCTGAAAGAGAGTCCCCCAGAGGGGCCCAAGCCTCAGGTGTGTATTACAGAGGATTCATCATTTAATCCACAAAATGGTGCTTCCAGAATCCAGTGCTTGGCCTTCTAGAGGCATTAACTCAGTTTCTCTCTTCCTATAGAATGGAGCCCTGGCACCAAGGAGCCAACAAAGGGTCGAGAGAGCCTATTTCTCAGCCAGTGGCCCCAGAGCCAGAAGGACACCTGTGGTGAGGAGGGTGGCTGTGACCCAGTGGGCACCACGTCACTTCCCCTGCCACCCAAGAAACCTGCATGTCCAGCTGAGAAGAACCTACTCTATGAGTTCTTTGGGGCCACCAAGAACCCAAGCGGGCAGCTGAAACTTCGAAACAAAGTGGAAGTGGATGGGCTGGAGCTGAAAGGTGAGCTGACCTACCCAGGGAGGGGCTGCAGGGGAGGGGGTTGCAGCGACCCTCACAGGCTTCAGGTGGCTCTGTCACCAAGTGGCTGTCTCATCTATAGAAAATTCACTGCCTTTCTATAGTTGTCAGTTTTAAAACCTACAAAATGGGAAAAATGACTTTCTCCCTATATCCCTTCTTGGGAATACAGTTGCTAGAGAAATGCAGTTGGCTTTCAAGGGTCATATCAGCATTATTCATAGTCACTTCTGAATGTAGCCCTGATCCAGCATGTATTATATCTTCTGAAATTGCCCAAGCCAAAACAAAAAATCCTTGCTTTAGATTATTTCTACATTGAGATTATGTTTCTGCCTTCTCTTCCTTGCCCTCCTACAGCTGTTCTAGTCAAACCTCTTTTTCCAAAAGGACGCCAGTAAGGGGGAAACAGAGGACCCATTTCTGATTTTTTAAGACCCCACGACATCTTGTAGAAAGGAAGAACCCAGGATTCTTACCTTGAAACAACTCAATCTAACTTCATTCGTTTAGACCAATTTTGAGTCACTGCATGCTGAATTTAATGTTTTAAAACATTTTTTAAAATTCCCACATAGATACAACAACCTGTGCAAGTTTCTTAGCGTTGCTAAATATATATCCTTAGGGAGGGGCTGCTTTAATCATTTGATAAGGAGGAATTCCAATGGCATAGCAATGGTTCATATAAAGTTGGATTTTTCTAAAGCAGCTGAAAGAATTTCATTTTGTAAGTAGGTGATATATAGCCCTAGCAATCTGGTTTATTGTATTCCCTTGCTAAACTGCCTTCTTTACTGGTGAATGATGGAAAGAAAAGCTCCAAGCCAGACCTACTGGGAATTTCGTCCCTTCCAGATTGGCAAGGCATGAACTAATGATGTTTGCCTATAGTTGGAAATGTGCTAGAACTTTGAAGAACCCTCTTGGAGCTTAAGTGATCTGACCTGTGAGACTGAATCCCTAGGGAAGTTGCGATGCTGAAGGTGTCCTGGCCTCTCCCTGCCTCCATCCCTAACCCACTTTACCTCTCCTGTGACTTGCAGTTAACACACCTGTGACAGTTGCTGACAAGAACAACCTGAAGCACACAGGGAATGTTTTCACTCCACACTTTGCTACAGCCTTGACCTCAGCAACCCTGAACCAGCCATTCTGGCTCAACCTGAACTATCCACCTCCACCAGTGTTCACGAACCCCTCCACCTTCCTGCAGTATCAGGTCAGTGAGCGGGCCTAGCTCTCCTGTGGATATCCACGAGATTTTTGGCCACAGAGGAGGTGTGGCTGGCAGGGGGCCTATTTCACAAAGAGCCTCCAGACTCTTTTGAATGCCTTGCCTACATGGAAGAGGCTTTGCGGGGGCTATGGTAGGGCATTGTCAACTTGTCAGCTTGTCGGTTATTTTTTTCACTGTAGTCACATGAGACCTACCCCTTGGTTTATGTGCGTGCGTGCACACATCTACACACACATATGTATGTAAAGTCCTAACTTTCTGTTGTCTGAATTCCAGTTCACGCTGTGCCCTTCACTGAGAGCCTTGTTTTGCTGGTTGTGGCTGGTTAAGTGCTTAGGCTCCCAGGAGAAGATGATGTGGCAGTCCTTGTTTCCCATCTCCTTCCTGTGACTTCCTTTAAGGTTGGATGGCATATATCCTAGATTACTTGGGACAGTTCCGATTTTGGTCTTCTGTTCCAAAATAATATTAATGGCATCCCTTTTCACTCTCATGTCCTGGTTTGGATAACAAATTACAGTTGGCCCTCTGTATCCACGGGTTCCACATCCTCAGATTCAACCAGTCTGGATGGAAAATATTTGAAGAAGGAAATAATAAAAAACAACAATACAACAACAAAAAATAATGCGAGTAAAATATAATACAGTGTAATAACTATTTACATAGTATTTACATTATTAGACATTGTTAGTAATCTATAGACAAAAGGATACAGAAGTATTTGCATAAGCTACATGCAAATACTATGCCATTTTACATCAGGGACTTCAGCATCCTCATGTGCCATTTTATTTTATTTCAGACAGTCTCACTCTATTGCCCAGGCTGGAGTGCAGTGGCACGATCTTGGCTCACTGCAATCTCTTCCTCCAAGGTTCAAGCGATTCTCCTACCTCAGCCTCCTGAGTAGGGATTACAGGCATGTGCACCAACACACCTGGCTAATTTTTGTATTTTTAGTAGAGATGGGGTTTCACCATGTTGGCCAGGCTGGTCTCGAACTCCTGGCCTCATGTGATCCATCTGGCTCAGCCTCCCAAAGAGTTGGGATTACAGGCGTGAGCCACTGCACCTGGCCCTCAAATGCCATTTTATACTGGAGACTTGAGCATTCTCAGATTTTGGTATCCACAGGATGGAAGAGGGAGGGTAGCCTTCGAACCAATCTTCTGAGGATACCAAGGGATGAGTATATATGGCCACCTTACTTAAACTACACCCAAGCAGTCTTAGCTTGTACCAACCAAAGTGACTTGGCATGCATTCTTGTTCTTGGGCTCGTAGCTAAAGGAGAAAAACAGTGGCCAGACACAGAAGGATAGTAAAGCACCTCTAGCAGGGCTGGAAATTCTACTCACAGAACTTATTTATGCAGGCAAAATGTAGTTTCTTTATTCTGTCGATGTAACTTAATATCCCTTAAGAGCTACCACCCACTGGGTAGAAGGAGGGAAAAATTAAATAAATGTCCACTCTGGTTTAAGCCTTAGTCTAATCCAATAATTTAAATAGTCCCTTTAGGCAGGACTCAGTTTTCTCAGGAAAGATTCTCCATGCCCAAGATTTCTGTTTACTGTTCCCCTCACCGGCTTCTCTCCAGAATTGCATGTCGTATGAGGAAAGGGCAGGAACTCAAACTGTGCATCCAGGACCTTGGCAATTTGCTGCCCCAGCCTGGCCCAGCACAGCCTGAAGCGAGAAAGTAGGGAAGGAAACATCTCTGACTTGGCTTGTCCTGTTGCTGTGTTTTCCCCTCTCCACCCCTTGGAACCCTGTGTCATTCTTTTCCTTACAACACAGCTCAAGCCTTATGTCCTATGGGGGAGGGGGATTGTCTCTTCTCCTTATCAAATGCCCATCAGTGATAGACTAGACAAAGAAAATGTGGCACTGGCCAGGCATGGTGGCTCACGCCTGTAATCCAAGCACTTTGGAGGCCAAGGCGGGTGGATCACCTGAGGTCGGGAGTTCAAGACCAGACTGACCAATACGGTGAAACCCCGTCTTTTAAAAAAAAAGAAAATGTAGCACATATACACCATGGAATACTACGCAGCCATAAAATACAATGGGTTCATGTTCTTTGTAGGGACTTGGATGAATCTGGAAACGATCATTGTCAGCAAACGGACACAAGAAAACCAAACACCCCATGTTCTCACTCATAGGCGGGTGTTGAACAATGAGAGCAAGTGGACTCAGGGAGAGGAGCATCACATACTGGGGACAGTTAGGGGGAGGGCTAGGGGAGGAACAGCAAGGGGTGGGAAGGGTGGGGAGGGATAACATGGGGAGAAATGCCGGATATAGTATGCACCTATGCAACAACCCGGCATGACCTGCACATGTACCTCAGAACCTAAATTAAAATAAAAAAACAGCCCTTCAAGCTGACACACCAGACTTAGCTTCTGAATCTTAAAGGAACTTAGCAAAGCCTCTCTCTGTTTTGTTTTCAAGCTTTTTGTTTGTGTGTTTGCTACAGAGAACAAGTACCTATACCCTTCCCAGGGAGAGAGAGCTCACACCTCATTGTGGAGGTGAGAGGTTGTGATGAAAATGACCTAAGAAGGAAGCCAAAGTGAACTAGTTTCATATTAGTAGTCTATTGTCCTTACACAGGTCTTGGAATGTCCTGTTCAGTGAGTCACTGACTCCTTTACCAACATGCTTCTACCCTTGCATTTTTGTTTGGTTATTCACTATTCATTTATTCACCTACTTGTGATTTACTCACTTCTATGTATTTATTTACTCATTCATTTAAGTAATTTTGAAAACCTTTGCTCCCCACACCTGCTAGAAGCTAAGCATTGTGCCATGTAGAGGGATTCAAAATGACTAAAGTCAGGTGTGGCGGCGTGTGCCTGTAGTCCCAGCTACTCCAGAGGCTGAGATAGGAGAATTACTTGAGCTCAGGAGTTCAAGTCTGGCCTGGACAATATAGTGAGACCCTGTCTCTGAAAAAAATGAGGAATAAGATAGAAGCTTGGAGTCTAATGCAAGTTCAGGAATAAACCAGAGACCAGCTCTATATGCATCTCCACCTCTAAAGGGGAAACAACTGCATAATTTATTTAGTGTAAGCCGATTCACTCTAAAATGCCCTCACAGAATTCACCATGTAAAACTAATTTGCAATGGTTTGCTTTATTAAGTGGGGATAGCATCTCTTTGCTATGTTAATTTCTTTTGACTTTTTGGAGTGGATGAGATTTGGACATATCATTTTCTGAGCATGAAGGTCCTCTGTCTTTAGCATCATATGGCTGACTAAGAGGTTCCTGGGCTTCTGAGCAGAAGCAGCAGAAGGACCCTGGCTGGTAACGCCTGCTGGGTTCTATGAGACAGTTTAAGCACTCAACAGGCCCAGCTGAAATTGGCTGTGGAAGGCGTTGGTCCTCCCAGGTGATAAGGAAGTACAGCATAATTTACCTTCTTCCAGCTTCTATGATCTCACAATGCCATCCAGCTTCAAGATAGCTGATCAATGGGCCTGAGATAATAGACGGTTTTGAAACCAGGAGACTTGGCTTTAAAGGTTCTGCTGCTTCCAAGTTAGGGCTTAGGATGGTTAGCTGCTCAGAGCCATGGTTTCCTGGTTTGTGAAATGGGTTCATAATAATTACAGCAGCAGCAGCAGCAGCAGCAGCTACTGATATGGTTGTAAGGATTAATTGAGTCTGTGGAAGGGTAAAGACTCTGTAAAATTTAAGCTGTGACACAGATGTTGATTTTTATTATGATTCAGCCTCAATCTTCCAAGGAAATGGGGTCAGAAAGCTCCACAGACCTTGAGGGACAGAGAGGAGAAACGGGGAACAGTCTAGCCTGGTCTCTTTCCTGCTTAGCATTAGGAATAAAGATGAGGTCCCAAATCCGGTTTACTCAGAGCTCTGTGGTGGAAGGACTCAGAGACGTGGAAGACAAAGTCCCCAACACCGAGGAGCTTCAGAGGCCCCTGGGCTACTTGGCATAAAGAAACACTACTCCCAGTTAAGGAGGGGGGGTGCATGGGAAGAGGCCATGGCTTAAGCAAACAACAGCGAATGTTAATTTACCCTTGCTTGTGATTTTACACGCTTGCAATGCTAACAACTAGAAATGTTCTTGAAGTCATGCAGTGTTTTCTAACTGATGACTGTGGCACCATCTCCTGATAATCCACCCTGGGACTGATTAGGGGTGGCCAGCTGTTTGCCATCCACAGAGCCTAGGGCAGACTGGCACAAGCAGGTGTGAGATGGTGGAGGCTGGGGAAGTTGGCTGTGGAAAGCAAGCGGCACCTTCCTCCCTGGTGCTCCCAGGAGGACTAGGGCCACCAGCTTAAGCCCTGGATGGGCTCCTGTGAGGGGTGGCTGGGTGGCCTATGCTAGGCATTCTAGAGACTGCTCAGTGCTGTACCCTGGGAGACCTGAGGGAGAAGATGATGAAAAAGAGGCGGAAGGAAGATAAAAGAGTCCCATAGGGGATCTCAGCTGCTGCACCGTAGGTTTTGCAGTCTGGAGGCATTAGCTCTGGCCACCCTCTCAGAGGACACAATGAGTCTCAAAAACAGTGACCATGCTCCCAGCAGAGATCTTTGTGTATGACAGTGTGCACACACATATGCACACAAACGTATATACACACGTTTGATGTACACACATATAAACAGAAACAGGCAGGTGCACAACTGCCCAAAGAAAGCAGAGGTAAGTGCTAATGGGGTTGAGAGGAGGGGGCAAAACAGAGGAGGGACACTCAGCAGCCTGCCTAGTGGTCTTGGAGCTCATGGAGGGCTGGGAACAGGTGAGGCAACCCCATCAGTCAGACTGCTCTGTCCAGGTTCAGGCAGAAGCTGGGGTTGCAGGGACAGGACAGTGATCGTGATTGGAGAGACAGGCTGCCCCAGGCTGCAGGGCTTGGAGTAAAGAGGAGCAGGTGAGTAGTTTCAGGTAATGGAGTGAGCAAAAGTGGGAGGGGCCTGAGCACAGGAACGTCAGGAGTGTCCCCTGCATGGGAGCAGAGAGCAAGGAGAGGCTCTGAGAAGATGTGCCCTCTTGGGGACCTGGAAGATGGAGCAGGAGGAGAGCAGGAAGATCTCCTCACAGACTCCACATCAGAAAGTCCATAGGCCATGAGGAAATCCTCAAGGGTGTAGTGTCAGCCATCATCAACACTTTGGTCATTGGCACAAGCTGAGCCCAGAATGAAGGCAGCCTCTCAGGCCGCAGGTCTTCTGAGATGTCCTAGGCTGAGAGGTGCTTTTGGTGTTGAGCCTCATCTAAAGGGAAAACTCTGGAATGGCAAGAGGAGGCAGATTCTGAGACTGGAGCTGACCACTCCCACAACAGCAGTTCTGCTGTGTGTGTGTGTGTGTGTGTGTGTGTGTGTGTGTGTGTGTGTGTGTGTCTTTTGTCTGTATGTGGACACATGAGCACCCCGAGACAGAATTGTGAGTAAAATGTCAATTTCCCATCTGGCTGAATGGCCAGAGAGCCTATTTAAGGGAGGAGGCAGTGAGAGATGACGAACACACCGAACATTGAGTCCTTACTATGTGCTGGGCACTATTCTAAGCTCTTTAGATGTATAAACTCATTCATCCTCACACTGCCCTGCTCCGTAAGCTACGGACACAGGTGTATGCATGGACACATAGACATATAGCAGCAGGAACCCACACTAATACACCTGGGTTCACAGTTGTATATTTGTACACAGAAGTACACAGTTGCATAGACAAAAATGCAAACACACATGCAGGTGTACTTAAACATGGATGCAAACCAACATACACATGTAGAGATGTACATGGACACCTTGTGTCTTCAGGGGGTAGGTATGGGATTAGGGGAAGGCATTTCGAAAAGTTGTGTGGACAGCAACAAAGAGAATGTGGCTACCTTCATAGGCTTTGCAGGCCTGAGCACATGTGATTTTTTAGATAAGGGAAAAGAGGCTCAGAGACGTGAAGTGATTTGCCCAAGGTCACACAGCCACTAAGAGATCCAGGGCCCAGGAGGCAGTCAGGCTCCTGAAGCTCCTGTCTCCTATACTCACTGAAAAGGCAGTGAAGACTGCTGAAGATTCCTAAGTGGTGTGAATCCTGCTTGTCTCGGCCTGATCCCAGCTGGCCTCAGACAGCCCATGGGTCTGGCCAGTGATGTGATGGGACAAACTCAGCCCTGTCTGGAGGTCCAGCCATGTGGGCTGGAGACTGAGCTGAGTAGCTGCTGCCTTCTGGCACAGAAGTCCTTGCCTGGCCATACTGAGCCTCTCTTTCTCTCCAGGGCCTGTACCCACAGCAGGCAGCGAGGATGCCCTATCAGCAGGCTTTGCATCCCCAGCTGGGATGTTACTCCAGACACGTAAGTAAACCATCTCTTCTCCTCCGTCCTGACTCCATGAAGGCCTTTGGGTCACAGGGTGCACCTGCTCTCTCTTCTTTGTCCAGCTGGTGACCAGCCAATATACTTCCGGCCCACCATTGGCTCCAGAGTACAGACTCACATACCAGCATGCATGTGGAAAACACAAACCGATGTCCATATGTAATAACAGTGAACACTTAATGGAGCCCTTCCTGTGTGCTGGGCCCGCCCTTAAGGACTGTGACTGCACTAACTAATTTAGCCTTCAAAATTACCCTGTGAGGTAGGTTATAGATGAGGAAACCCAAGCACAGAGAGGTTAAGTAACTTGTCCAAAGTCATAAAGTGAACATGCAAGTTAGGTGTTGCTGTGGCAATACACAGCCTCCACAACTCGGGGACTTTCAAGAATAAATGTTAATTTCTTGCTCAGGTCTACGGGCTGGCTGAGCTGGGCTGTGGATCAGGTTTAGGTGGGTTCTACATGCCTCTTCTGGGCCTGTGCTGAAGATTCAGTACCTGTTGCTATTTCCATGGCGGATGGCAGGAGCCCAAGAGGGCAAGCAGAAACATGTGATGCCTCTGAAATCCTCAGCTCAGACATGTCCATGGGAATTTCCACCCACCTTCCACTGGTCAACGCAAATGATATGGCTTTGCTCAGCATCAGCGGGCCTGAGGAGCCACAGTCTTCCCATGTAGGGTTGCCAGTCAAAATCCAAGACACCCAGTTACATTTGAATTTCAGATAAACAGGGAAAAAATGTTTAGTGTAAGTATGTCCCAAATATTGCATGGGATATACTTATACTAAAAATATGTATTATTTATCTGAAATTTGAATTTAACTGAGTGTCCTGTATTTTTATTTGCTAAATCTGGCAACACTGTTTTCACAGGTAGGTCGGGATGAATATCTGTGGGACAATAATTGAGGTTTGACCTCTGGCAGGCTGGCACTCCAATGACCATGTTTTACCATGTCTTGTACATAGATGCACAAAAATACCACACAGAAATAAAGCAGCAGAAATAGAAATGCAAATACACACACACACACACACACATGCAGATAGAAGCACAGGTATAGTTGTATACATGCCACCAACCTGCAGGAGTCTGTGTCCAGGCACAGGCACACAAATAGATACAGAAGCACATTGAGGGATATTGAGTCTGGGGGCAGGGATGGGGGTGTGAGGAAAGGCGCTTAGAATGGAGAAGTAGAGGGTACCAACACCCAGCCCGCTATAGCCCCAGGCTGGCCTTGCTCCTCCACACAAAGATGGACACTCCCACACTTCAACTCATAAAGCCTCTGCCTCTCCTCTCTCTCCAGGGAGCTCCACCCTCCCTGCAAACTGCACCTCTGGCCTGAAATGTGTCAGAATGTTTGGAAGGGTAGGGAAGGGCCCGTAGGTGTAGGCAGCTTTGTTACCTGGGGCAGCACTGGTTTCTCTGCAGCAGGAGCCCTTGCATCCTGAGATGAAGCTGATATGAGAGATGATCTGGGTCAGGGAACCTCAGCCCCATCGTCTCCACCCCTTGAACAGGGGTATCATCCACCTGACTCCAGAGAGAATCTTTTTAGACAATTGTGTGTATGTGTGTGCACGCGTTCATGTGTATGTATTTGAAGAAAGTAATATAAAAACATGGTAAAACAAATTTTAAAACTTGGAGGCAATCACTGTTTAATGGTTTTTTACATATTTTCTGGTGTTATCTATTTATATAAACATTTTTATATAAGTGCGGCATTCTGGGCACACTGTTCCATTGCTTTTGTCAGGGAGGAGTGTATTTGGAGATGAATCCAGAGCAGGCTATAAAGCTTTGCTTTATAGTTTTATCAGATACCTGGAATCAGGGGCACATTTTCAATAATACTGTGTGAGCTCCAGGGCCTGCCTCCTCCACTTTGATCCCCTCCCAGGGCCAGGCACTTCCTCCCCCGTGAGGACAGGGGTACTTTCTGCCATGCTAACCCACATCTGTCCTGGGAGGTGCTATTGGCGTGTTCTGACCTTTAGCTCATCACCTTGGGGTTTGGTGCCTGTGCCCAGCATCACCAGGTGCCACATCTCTACTGGAGAACACTGGGGAGGACCGAGAGGGAGGACTCAGGTTTCCAGAGAGGACATAGCAGAGAGAGGCTGGTGCAAAACAAGGTATGGGCTCTGGGCTTACCCTGCTGGGGTTCTGACTGCAGCTCAGATGCTGGAAACACTGAGAAAGTTGCTTCACTTCTCTGAACCTCAGATTTTCTGCCTCCAAACTGGAAATCATAATGGTCCTACCTCACAGGACTTTCTGGAGTTTTAATGACAGCATCTAGGTGAAGGGCTGGGCACATTCCAAGCACTCAATGGGTGCTAGCCTTTGTGGATTTTTTTTTTTAGATAAGGGCTTGTGGGGTGAGAGAGAGCTGTCAGAGTGCCTGAACCCTGAGCACTTGGACCCCAGACTTGTATTAAAATGGAAATCTAGAAGTTTCTTCAAGTTCTGACCACTCCCCTCAGCACACAAGTGGATGGATGTCAGCTTTGTATGAGAAAAGCTTTTCTGATATTTGGAGCTGTCAGTAGTGGAATGCAGTGCTCATAAGGCAACAAGCTCCCCACCTTTTAGGTATTCAAGCAGACACCTTTGTGGTCTTTTCTTTCCTCCCTCCTTCCTTCCATCTCTCTTCACTTTCCTCTCTCTTCCTTTCTTGCGTTTATTCATTTAACATATGTTTGTTAAGCAGCGACTGTGAGCCAGGCACGGTCTTAGGGCTGGGGAGATAGTAGTCAACGAGATGGATGAGGTCTCTGCCATGTCAGAGCAAGATGGTGGGAGCCCCAGTTCTTGGTGGGAGTTTGTTATGGATAGTCTGGGAAAGCCCACTGAATTCTTGTATTTCCCTAGAGTTTGTGTTCAACCCCATTGCCCTTTTTTGCCCTTCCTCCTAGACTCACACTGTCCACTATGGCAGCCACCAGCTATGTGTGGCTATTTAAATTTAAATTAGCTAAAATTAAGTATAATTCAAAACTCAAGTCTTCATGCACAGGAGCCACATTTCAAATGCTCAACTGTCGTGTGTGGCCGGGCCGGCGGCTCCCACACTGCATGGCACAGAAGTAGGACATTGCTGCCGTCGCAGGACTTCTGGGCAGGGCTGTCTCGGACTTGGAATCTGTTGAAAGGATCTCAGGAGAGATAGAAGCCAGAGCTGTGTAAATTGTGCCAGCTTTTTGAAGATAATGAAAGTCTTAAAAATAAAAAAGGGGCTTTTGAGATGGTTACTGACAGAGGGAAAATCTAGGAAAACAGGGAAGGGAATGGAAATAACATTGATTTGTTATTTACTATATGCCTGTCTCTTTACTTGCGTCACCTGACCCCATCCCCACTAACAACCTAGATAGTGTTTTCCCATTTTGCAGATGGGGAAACTGAGGCTCAGATAAATTAGGTAACTTGCTAGGCTCACTATCAAAGTTGAGCCCTAGGCTTTCTCCATTTCAATATGTTGCCTTCTGCATACCCAACAGGGACTGAGGGGCACAGAGGCTGAGGCTGGGGGCGGGTGGCTGGGGTTACAGTTGGGCTGGGGAATGGTGACCTCACCCCTCTCTTCTCTCTGACCTGCAGGTGATGCCATGCAACCCACAGCAGATGGGACAGCAGATCTTCCGCTCTTCCTACACCCCACTAACAAGCTACACCCCTTTTGTCCAGCCCAATTATCCCTACCATCAGAGGACACCTCCAAAGATGTCTGCCAACCCCCGAGACCCTTCCCCCATGGCAGGAGATGGACCCCAGTACCTCTTTCCCCAAGCATATGGGTGAGTCAGCACTCACTGGAAGCCTAAGGGTATCCAGAAACCTGGTGGGAGTCGGGGCAAGTGGGGTGGGCTTACTGGTGCTTTCTCGGTATGTGTGTCCCATGGCTGCGTGGTGGGATGGGCCCTGCACCTGTGGCCAGTAGTTATGTGGGTCCTGGAGGAACTTGGTGCAGAGATGAACAGGGTCTGGGGCCTGGTGGGCCCCTTTCGTAGGTGCATTTCAGGGCTGCTTGCAGAAATGCAACTGCACGTCTATAATATATGGATACCCACTCCACAGGCAGGACAGGGGGTACAATGATGCATTTGCCTTTGCCCATGTGCTTGGTTACAACAGGATATGTCCAGCTAATCTCCTTAGAGCTCTCACCTCCTACTGTCGGCCCCCTGAGCTCCTTGCCCGGCTAATCTCCCGAACATCCCACTGACTTCATGATGGGCTCTGCTGAAGAGCCTTCGACTGCTTATCAGGGCTGCCCACACTTTTCCACCAAGTTCCCAAACTGTAGAGGCAAGGAGCTTGTATTTCCTGGGACGGTCTGAGAGCTTAACAGCAAACAGCCAGCACAAACTCAACATTCTGGCTGAAAATTCTACTCAAATTGTGCATGCTGTTGAGTCATAAATTTGTGTTTGTTTTAATATAACAATACGTAGCCACTCATTCCCACCCACAAAACCTTCCACTAATATGGATGCTCCAATGGGCAGGTGGTGCTGTGTCATTCCTGGGAATCCCAGTCTCCCAGGCTCACCCTGGAGAACGGGTGACCTGGTTTGAAAAACTCACCTTATAGGATTAAGGCCCAACTTCCCAGCCTGACAGTGATTCCCATCCTTCTACCTCCCCATCACAGAACCTCTACTGCAGTGCCAACCCATGTCCCCAAACTCTCATCCTTTCAATCAGTATTTTCTCCAAATAGCTTGTTAAAAGGGATAAATGCTAGAAAGTGGTTTCAGTAGTCAGATCTGTTTGGGAAAAGCTGTGGGAAACAGAGATAAACAGATTTCTTAACTGTTGGAATTCTCAGATCATTTAATTTCCTAGGGTGCATGAAGAATGTTCAAGGAGGTGGTTGATAGTATTATTTAAACATGAAATCCACACCCTTAAATAAAACATTTCCTTCCCTCCTTCCTTTCTTCCCTCCCTCCCTCCTTCCTTCCTTCCTTCCTTCCTTTCCTCCTTCCCTCTTTCCTCCTTTCTTCCCTCTCTCTCTTCTTACCTTCCTCTCTCTCTCTTCCTTTTTCTTGCAGAGTATGCCATGGTGTGTTCCACCTAACACACCCTGGGAAAAGCTGTGTTAACACATGCAGTTAATTTGAATTTAGCCTGCGGGGGACCCATAGATGAATAGGACATACTTCTTCCCTTCAGAGAACTGAGAGCAGATGAAATGTGGGCACAACAATGTTAGTGCCTTGGCAAAGTGAAAACCATCAAAGTGACCAAAGAGGACAGAGGCAGGATCCCTGCAGGAGTGGAGGGAGGTTCCAGTGAGCTGAGCCGGGAGGAGGGCATTCCAGGCAGGAGGGGCAAGGCCCTCAGATGGGAAGGCGTGCGGCAAGCTGGAGGCCTGGGAAATAAAGGTGTCTGGCTGAAGCATTAGATTTGTCTCTGAAAAAGATGGAAAATGGGATTGTAAAAGAGAGGTTGGGACTGGATTATGAAAGGCTTTGGACTGCTAGGCCTGGGGATCCAGGGAAGATTTATGCACGTCAGAGTGAATTGATGGGCTGGCAGGAAGAGAAAGAGGAAGCAAGATAGGGTGTGGCCTGGAGGTGACTCTAGGGACCTGTGGGCGAGATTATCATACCCTGGAGGTGAGAATAGAGACCCAGACGAGCCCCCTGCAGGCTGGCCAACTTCTACATTCTGTGCTGTGACTCTGGGCTCTGGAAAGGTAGACTTGCTGCAGGGATACCTCTGGCTGTCTCTGGGAGGGAGGGTGGTCTCAATGTCTCCTCAGCCAGGTTTTGGGAAGCACTGATTGGGAGCTATGAGACCAGAGGGTTGAGACCTGGTCTCTACAGGTCTGCAGAGGGGCAGAGGTTGGAGGAGTGGGAAGGCAGCCTGAGGAAGGAGCAGCCTGAGAGGTGGGAGGCAGCCTGGGGAGAGCCAGGGACAGTGGAGGCAAAGAGGAGGGCGAGGAGGAGGAGCAGGGTGGATTGATGCTCTGAGAGACTGGGGAGACCAGGGACCACAAGGTCAGAAAAATAATATAAGGGGTGCAAGCCTGAGTACCCAGAGTGGATGATCTGTTCATTCAAAAAATATTGATCCAGCATCCTGTGTGTGCCTGGCACTATTGTAGGCACAATTCACTCCAGGGATACTGGAGTGAATGTGACAACGTTTTTCCTTCTTTTAAGGCGCTTTCATTCTAGGAGGAGAAATGGACGATAAGGAGATAAGCGAGCATGCACGCAAGGCCAGGTCCTTGGGATATGGGTTGGGGTTGGGGGAAAAATCAAGGGCAGCCTCTTGAGCCAAGATCTAAATGAAATGAGAGAATGAAACACACATATAGGTGGGGGATGAGCCTCTGGGCAGAAAGAATAGAAAGTGCAAGGGCTCCGAGGTGGGAACCTGTGGCTGGAGCACAAAGTGTGAGGGAGAGAGTGCGTGGAATTGATATCAGAGGTAGCCAGGCCAGACCAGACAGGGACTGGTAGGTGTGGCTAGAGGTTTTGTTTCAGGAGCAGTGGAAAACCTTGCAGGATTTAAATTTATGAGGACATGTTCTGATTTTCTATATAAAACATATCACATTGACCAATGTCTGAAAAATGGACTGTGAGGGTAATAAGAGCTGAGGCAGGGGAGCAGGCTAGGAGCTTTATAGTTGACTAAGAGGCATTGGTGGCATGGATGAAGGCAGTGGCCCTGGGAAAGGGGACAAGTGAAAAGATCTGTGATGTATCATTTTCTTGGTAGAGCTGGTGGGGCGTGATGATGGTTGAACATGTAATGAGGGAAAGGGAAACATAGCTCCTTGGTTTTTCGCTTGCGCAACTGGAGCAGCAGCAGGGATAAAATACTAAGGTGATTGGGCCAGGTGCAATGGCTCATGCCTGTAATCTCAGCACTTTGGGAGGCCAAGGTGTGTGGATCACTTGAGGTCAGCAGTTCGAGACCAGCCTGTCTAACATGGTGAAACCTTGTCTCTATTAAAAATACAAAAATTAGCCAGGCATGGTGGTGGGTGCCTGTACTCCCAGCTACTCGGGAGGCTGAAGCAAAAGAATCGCTTGAGCCTGGGAGGTATAGGTTGCAGTGAGCCGAGCTCATGCCACTGCACTCGAGCGTGGGCAACAGAACCAGACTCCACCTCAGAAAACAAAACAAAACAACTAAGGTCATGATGCCTAGAGCAAAGATCTGTTTACCAAGAATCGGTCTTTTGGAAAATTGAGTCTCATTAGACAGTTGGGTAGAGCTCTTGATAGATAGGTACCTATAGGAGTCTGGAACTCAGGGGAGAGGTTGGGGCTGGTAATACATTTGGGAGCCCTTTGCATGTAGATTTCAAGGCATGGGATGAGATGGGATGATATGGCCCAGAATACACAAGTATAGAGAAGAGAAGAGGTCCAAGGGCTGAGCCTTGGGACTTCCAGCATGTAGAGGCTGCGGAGATGTGAAGGAATCAGCAAAGATTTTATTAATAAGAAGGACTATCTAGTGAGGTGGGGAAAAAAATGTTAAACTAGTATACAAGAAGCCAAGTGAAGAAAGTGTTTCCTAAGGAAAGGGCTGGCTTTGGGGGGCTGACGCGAGATGCTGGATGGAACAAGATCAAGGTGAGGCTGCGCCTGGTGGGGAGGGTGTGTGGGCCTAAGTGGAGAGTTTAGTGTGAAAGACAAGGAGGGTGAGCAGAAAAGGAGGAGTCAAGAGACAAAACCGTGTGAAGGGGAGAGGAAGGAGCAAGAGGCTTCCATGTCCTCAGGGAAGGAGAAGTAGAGCCCTCCCCTCTGCCAAGTCAATTTGCATACATTCGTCAGGGTGGGATAACCATACAATTTATCTTCCAAGCAAGAATAAATCTGAGAGTTAAAAGGAGTACAGATAATAATTATACCAGGCCGGACACGGCGCGTTATGCCTATAATCCCAGCACTTTGGGAGAGCGAGGCAGGTGGATCACCTGAGGTCAGGAGTTTGAGACCAGCCTGGCCAACACAGTGAAACCCCGTCTCTGCTAAAAATACAAAATATTTACTGGGTGTGGTGGTGGACACCTGTTCTCATTCTGTTCCTACTGCAGAGATTGCAGTGAGTTGAGATCGTGCCACTGCACTCCAGCCTGGGTGACACAGTGAGACTCTGTTTCAAATAAATAAATAAATGAAACTATAAAATAATTATACCAGAAATACCAGCATAGAGGCTGGCCCACACAAACTAGGACATATGCTGTCATACTCAACAGGCAGCTCAAGTTCCTCCTCCTCCAGGAAGCGTTCCTTGAAAGTTCTCATCCATACAGATTGCTCCTCTTTCTGGCCCTCTAGCGTACATCCTGTCTAGATCATGCCAGTGGCCACTGATCTGATCAGAAGTTTTCAACCTGGAGGAGCTAGCTGCATGTGTGGCAATCAGATATGAGCTGCGTCATGATAACGGTTGATTACTGATAATTGTTAAATACTGAAGTATGGGTTACAGACTTCATTTTGTAAGTCAGAGTGGAATGCAGGGTATCCCTGTAATAACATCCTTATGGTTTCTGAATAATCTTCCAATATGATTTCTGAAAGAGAGAAACAGAGATTGGGTTACCAATCTCATGGATTGCTTACGAGGCACCCACATTGTGTCAGGTCCTGGGCACTGGATATGAAATAGGCAAAGTCTCTGCTCTCTTGGAAGTTATTTTGGTGAGAATGGAGTGAGACAACCCAGCCTAACTTGCTCCAGGACACTCAGTGAGCTGCTGAGGCACTACAAATGAATGCCGTGGTCTGTTTCCATTATTTCTCTCCTCCTCCACCCTCCTTTTTGGTTTCTTCAGTTCATAGGAGGGTACATGAACATGAGTCTCTTCTATAATATGCCTCCGCCCAGCTGAAAAGTGATTGAGAATCCCAGGATTAGATTAAATCTAGCCATTTGCTCTCCTGTAATTTGTATTGAGTTCTGTTCCCATTCATTCAAAATATCTGAGCAGATGGATGAAGAAATTACAGTAAGATTCCAGAAGTGTGAGTAAATGATTCCATCTGGAGAGGTCAGGGAAGCCTTCACAGAGGAGATGGCTTTTGAACTCTATTTTGAAGTATGGATAGGAGTGTGCCAGGGAGAAAAGGAGAGGCACACGCTCTTAGAGGGTGAGGCTCACGTCTTAACTCTTCCTTCCCTGAGGGTCCAGCAAAGCCCTAGGCACTCAGTGGTGTCTCAAGGCTTACTTTTCAGACAGGGTTGGAGGACCTGATTTAGCTTGGTGCTGGTAAGGGGAGGAGGGACTCTGGGATTGTCCAGACTCGAAAATCTAATGCTAGACCTGCCCCTAAGTTCTCTGATGTTGTAGATTTTCCTGAGGGACACGTCTGGTCCTCTAAGGCAGGTAGAGTGGTCACAGGAATACAGGTAAGATGCTTAGATCCAGAGAGGGTCCCTGTTCTGTGGGTCTTGGGCAGAAAGAGAGGGTAGGCTCCCTTGAAACAATCTTTACAGGTTCCAGGGGCTTCCTGATCTAAGTGAGCCTAAAGAGAAGCTCTTGTTTGTCCTCTAATTGTATTATTTTAGTGTTTCACTTTCCCAGAGCCAAAGCTTTTTCTTATGCCAAAGCCTTTATTCTCCAAGCCTGTCGTGGTCTTCACTGTTTCTGACAACCATAAAGTTAATATATTATTTTTTTCTAATCTCTCCAATAACATTAGGAATCTCATCATGGTGTTCACACTCCCTCTCTTCCAGGTTCGGCTCAACATCTGGAGGTCCCGTGATGCACAGCCCCTATTTTTCCTCCAGCGGGAATGGCATAAACTTTTAGATCGCCTTCTCTTCTCCCTTCTCCTCCCTTAGCCCTTGGATCAGGACTAAGGGCTCTGAATTTCTGGGTTCTGCAAAAGCCTAATATGAAGTTTGGAAAGGCAAGGTTTCGACCAGGTCACAGACAAAACAGCAAGACCAGATTCATCTATTGGCCAACACCAACACACAAATAGCCCCCTCGCACATGGCACAAGCTACACACACACACACACACACACACACACACACTCTCTTCATATTCATACTTACTTGCTCAACCACTTATGCATCTGTATTTAGCTAACATGAGTGATTTTTGTTTTTGTTGTTGTTGGTAAAATAGAAGTAAGACACTTAATTTTAGAAAGTTTGTATTTTATGATAAAACTATGAGCTGCTTGAAATGGAGTGTGCCTGTTTATTTTTGTGGTGTTCTGCGTAATCTTTACTGCTCATGTTCCCCACGAGACTCAGCGTTTACTCAGGACATGAAAGGAAACCACAGGCTGGAGTCCTCGAAGTGCTGCTATCTAAATATGGAACTCCAGGGATCATAAGCAAGAGGGCTTATCTCTTTTCTCCAGTGATCCACTCATTTTTCAATGTCCCAGTGTATGCATCTCAGGAATGGACATCATAAAGAGAATGCCTTCTGTCCCATTCCAAGTGGAAGTTTTCCATAAAAAGTCTCTTTTGGACAAATGATTGGAAAATGTAGCCTGGAAAACAATTTCAAAAGTAACGCCAAATGTCACAGACTATATCCACTGGTCGTGCATCCATACCAAGATAGAGGTCAATCTCAAAACTGAACCTAATGGCAGCATCCCTGGACCTATGTTGTTCAACTCTTACCAGTGACTCGAATAAGGACATTGAGAGCAACTGGATCACATTTACAGAGGACATGAGTCTGGGAAGAAGAGACAGCCTGGATCTGTGACAGCACACATTCTTTAGCTCTCCTATTGTGCACCCTTGGCAGACATCGCTAATCAGCTATGTCATTCTATTCCCCTGGGCTTGGACAAAGCCACAGAGTCATTCTCCCTGTGGTGCTCCAGACAGCTGTCACTGATCAGAGTTAGTCTGTGAAATGAAACCCATGGGCCATGTGTAAACAGGAATTAATGTAAGGATATGCTTTGGTCTAAAAAAAATGAACTGTGCACATCCAGTTTGGACCAGCATTCTCATTTCTGACCTGCTCTATTACCAACCCTATTATTCACCTGGAAGTGGAAACTCACCTTGGCTGAGGCCAGTGAGAGCTGGTCTGGGGAACATTAGGAGTCCTAATCCAGATAGCAATGAGAGGCTGGGGATCTGGAAGTCATCGGTGTCTCAGGATGGGCTTAAGTCCAGTGCCCACAGTATCATTTCTTTTGCTCTCACAATGTAACCGCACTGGCCTCACCAGTCTTTCTTTCTGGGTCCTTGGAAACCAATTTCTCTCCCAAGTTCCCTCAGGATGTATGCCTTCTTAACTTTCTTCATGGTCTCATTCTAGGATTCCCTGGGAGTCCTTCAACTCCCTAAGCCAATGTTGGACCCTACTTTAGGCATTTCTTGTTTCTTCTTGATAGCCTTGGTTAACAGTCTGTCCCAAAGTTCTTTCTTAAATTATACTTCCAGTTATTGATCCAGGCTACACTATAGTTTGCCACTCTCGCTTGATCTCAGCATGTTGGAAAGCAGGAAACAGTAAGGGAAAGAAAGATCATGGGTTTGCCTTTGGCCAGACCTGGCTTCTTAGCTACTTTCCAACTATAACTTGAGGCAGAAAACTTAACTTCTCTGAACCTCATTTCCATGAATGGCCATGTTAAGAGTTGTGAGGACTAAAAGATAATGCAGACTTAATATAAACTTTGTCTATTTAACATAGACTTGCGACTTTAAGATGGCAGAGTAAAGATGTTTCTGTTCCTCTTCTCTTGAAACTTACCCCCAAATAACAAGGAGAACAAGTGAACCTGTACAAACTCTGTCCTCAATGAAACTAGGAGAAGTTGGCAATCCCTTCCCATATACAAAGGAAGAAATGGGATAGAGGAAAGGGAAATCCCTTATCAGGACAGGGAAGATCCCACGGCAATGCTTGCCAAAGGAAATATCAACAAGAAGCTAGTCATTTCTCCTGCAGAGCCCTGATGGCCCTAAGAACTGGAGGTGCCAGATGCTAGACTCTATGGAAGGTGGGGCTAGGAAGAGGTGAAAGCAACCTGGCCCCACAAAGCCAAAGGCCGTGGCCAATTCTGTAGGAGACAGGAGGCATTTTCTCCAGAGAAATGTACAGACCATGCATAAGGGCTGTGGAGATGAGGGCCCAGGTGGAAAATGGGGATCAAGTAAAATACACATACACTCCTCAATGCCAGCAGCTAGGTTTAACCAAGAAGCAGAGGATTCCTCTGGAGAAGTTGAATTCTCCCAAGACATTTGGAGGTACCAGTGAAAATTACCCTATGATTAATGCCCTTTTACAAAGAGCTCCCAATGAACTTTTTAGAACGGTCTCCAACAAGAAGGAAATAGATCAAAGCAAAGGTAAGAAGGAACTAAGGAAAGCTAGACAGACCATGATATTCTAAGGGAGATAAGGTAGTACATTTTAACAAGGACAATATGCCATATGCTTATTTTTAAAAATGTTTTTGGAAATTAAAACGGTGATAGTTGACGTAATTTTTTAAATGAAAGGGCTGGATCTTTCATCAGAGAGATCTCGTGAAAGGAGAATGAAAAAAGACATAAGGGTGGATTATAAAAGATAAAAGATAAGCAAATGAGAGATCAGTCCAGGAGACCCGATATCTGGCTAAGGGACATTTTAGGCATCAGAATGAAAATGAGGGGATGGAAATACTGATGAAAAAAAAAAAAGAAAAAAAATCCCCAGATTGAAAGGCCCAAACAAGTGCTCAGCAAAGTGAAAGATGGACATCGAAGAATATCCCTATGAAATTTCAGAAGAGCAGGGTTAAAGACAAGATTCTAAAATTTTCCAAAAATCCAACTCACACACACATGTTCAAGAACCAAGTGTCATCAGAGTTCTCAACAGTAGCACTGGCACCTAGAACACCTGACACGAAGACAACAGAACTTCAAGTGGAAATAATTTTTGACAGAGAATTCTAAATTCAAACTCTGCCCTGTGAAGATCAAATAAGATGTTTTCAGATATGCAAAGTCTCAAAAAATGTACCTCCCTGCATATTTTTCAGGAAGCTAAGGGAAGGTGTGCCCCACTAAGACAAGTGGTTAAACAAAGAAAGAAGATGTGGAATCTGGGAATTCAATGTGAGAGGGACGCCAAGGAGATTCCTGGGGTGATGGGAAAGGAACGTCTTCACTCAGGAGCCATGAAGCAGAGCCTCTGAGAGCCACCACCACCAGTCCAGATTGAAGTAGGAAGTTGGTGAACTCCAGAAGAGAGGCATGTCAGTGGGGGTCAGGGAAGGGCCAGAAAAAAATGATAGATTATCCTGACAGAGTTGATTCTGTGGAAAATTGCATTAAGAGTTGCTTTATAGCAGTTGGTGAGGGTGAGAAGATATAACTATAAATTCAAATTTTAAAAAGAATAATTGTTATTAACTCAGCAGTGAACAATATTTACCTGGTCACAATTATAATAAGTTCAAATATAGATTTAACAAAAAATGGTGATAAATTATAACTATGGTGGGAGGAGGAAGGCGGAGAGAGGGTGTGAATAGCGCTAAAATTCTCATTTATCATAATAGGAAGGCAGCAGGTAATATCTAAAATGGATGATACCAGGGATAGTGGAATTCATATAATTATCTAGAAATCTGGAGATAAACACCAAGATAAAGAGCCAAGAGAGTTAGGGGGATTGCCTAAGGAAGCAAGATGGATTTGTGGGAGATGATGGTGCAGGGATCACTGCCTTGTTTATGAGCCTTTTAGCACGATTTTGTTTTTAAACCATGTATATGCATTACTTTAATAAAAATAAGCATTTATCTAAAAGAGAGAAATTGCATGTGGAACACTAGTATGATGCTTGGCACACGGTAGGTATCAAAAATGCTTGTTGAATCGTATCGAGCTGCCTTCTGACACAGCTAGAGCCCACTGCCCCAGCTCTCATCCCAGGATGTTTGAGAATCAGATTCTCAGAAGTCCTTAGAAATTGTTTTCTCAAGAAATTCTTGTGGAGAAAATTTAGTTAAAGGAGGGCCTAGAACCAACAGTCAATGTGTTTCCAACACATTGCACCCTGACTCTGTTCGCGTCTCAGGGAATCCCAGAAATAGTTGAGGAATAATGGGAACAGGGACCCTGAGTGCTTCCCTGGTTCAGCAGCATGAAGTCTGGATGGGACTGAAAACTCCCAGCTCTTCTCTAGGTTCCTTCCAACCCACCTTCCCCCACTCCATTCATTCAGCACATAGTCACTGAAAGTGTATTCTTAGGGATACAGCAATGGGCAAGACAGACATGAATGTTTAAGCATAGATATTCGATCATAGTTACTGTGAAAAGTGATGAGGTTACTAAATGCACACGCTGGGAGCTATGAGAGTACATATCAGGATATCAGGGTCACCCAACCTAGTTCACAGGGTCAGACAAGCGATGACTGCTCTTTTAACATTCCTGGTCCTTGCAGTGAATTCTCATGTGACATGTTTTTAAGTTGTAAGCCTCTAGTTTTCTTCCTGGACACACTCTATTTGTAAATCTGTTTTTCTTTCTTTCTTTCTTTCTTTTTTTTCCAAGGAAGTCTCACTCTGTCCCCCAGGCTGGAGTGCAGTGGCATGATCTTGGCTCACTGCAACCTCTGCCTCCTGGGTTCAAGTAATTCTCCTGCCTCAGCCTCCTGAGTACCTGGGACGACAGGTGCATACCATAATACCTGGTTAATTTTTGTATTTTTAGTAGAGACAGAGTTTCACCATATTGGCCAGACTGGTCTCGAACTCCTGACCTCAGGTGATCCACTGCCTCGGCCTCCTAAAGTGCTGGGATTACAGATGTAAGCCACCGCGTCCAGCCTATTTGTGAACTGTAACTACATAAGTAGTCCTTATGTAGTTTAAGCAAGTTGAGGAGTAGCATTTTGGAGGGGGGGGGGTTCTAGAAATACTTCATAAAATAATACCAGCTACTAATCATCAAGCACTTACAACGGGACAGACACAGTGCTATATACATCACCTTTATTATCTAATGTTCGTAATAACCCTGTGAGCTATATATTTATTACAGATGCAGAAACTAAGGTTCATGGTGAGTAAGTATCTTGTTTCAGGTCACGTGCTGAGCCAACATTTTTACCCACTTCTCCTGGTGCTTCCTTGTTTCCCATAACAGCGCACAGTGAATGAACTTTGTTGGAACTAATACCATATGGTTGATGGCTATTAAA